AATTAAGTGAGTTGCTTTAATTGCAATGTAAATGTTACATAAGAACACATATGCACAACCACAGGAAGATTTTAAAATATATATTTTTATTATCAATATATGACTTGCACAAAAAGTGTGTTTAAATGAACACATTTAGGAGACCGACAAATCGTAACAGATTGCAACTTTGCTGCTAGAAAACTACATCTTCTTACAGCTGTTTATGTAGGTTTAAATATGCTTGGCTCAACAGAAAGAGTTTGTAATGACTGAACCACCTTATTAACATGTTATAATGTCATGTCAGAAATCATGAAGTTTGGGATGGCACTAACAATGTTAATGTATGCATAGAGTGAGCTAGTTTGACAGACAGAATGAAGATTCAACACTGTGTCGAGAAAAAACACATAAAATACAAGGAGAAGTCAATAACTTGATCATTCATCTGTGTAGTTCTCCAATACTATGATTAATAACCAGTTAATTCATTTGCAAAACTACTTTCAACTCTACTTTGAAATGTTTCTGCTCCTACGTCAAGTGTGGCCTTGCCAAGCTGTAATAATAAACAAAAGAAGACCGAGAGATTAACAGCAAGGACGCTCTGTATTATACGAGTAAGTCCTTCAATGCTCCTGTAAGATACTTTACATTTACTGCATTTCAGATGTTTATTCAATCAGCAAAGAGAAGACAGGTGTTTTCGCCACATCTGTCCCTAAGGAGGCAAAAAAATAAAATAAATAAAAAAATCAGGCAGGATATCACGCAGGCTGATTTATTTTTAAATAATAAAATCACAGTTTTATCTATAATCTGTGAAACATTTAATTAATAAAATATTTCTGTTTGAAGATCTGAGCAAAAGAGAAAAACCCAGGAGACAAAAACACACATGAGGACAAAATGACCCGGTGGCACTGACTGAAGATAATTCAACAGAACAAGAATTTCACATGCATGTGCTGTGTGTGTGTGTGTGTGTGTGTGTGTGTCTTTGCTCTTTAGAGCTCCGTTCACATCATAGTTACCTTGAGCTGTTGGTATGTATGAGATTACATAAAATATGAGTCTCACATGGAGAGGGAATGTGCTGCAGCGTTAGCAGCATGTGTGAGGAATTCAATCATGGACTGGTGTTACACAAGCTGCACTCTGTGTAAATACTTATGTGCGGTCAGCTCTTCTTTCTTCCTCTTATACGCTTCTGCAGAAAAAAGGTCATTTTAGCAGTTGAGACCAGATGTTTTGGAGACAGAGTTGAGGATCATGGTGAGAATTCAGTAGGAGTCGGTAAACCTTTAGAATCTGATGGAGTTTAACGCACAAGAGTCAATCCACACAACAGTTATTTTTGGTATGTTAAAGGTCCATTACACCAATTTTACTCCAGGGGATCAGCTGACTTGTTGTTAGAGCTTATTAAAGTCAGAAATAACCCTTGTGATGTATCATCACCGTTATCTTTGGTTGGGCTGGTCTGGGAACAGAAAGGCTGCATTACAAACTGGCTATTTGAAGTCTGAGAGATGTGGATAATTACCAGGCACGGAGGGTCTCGTAAAAAAAAAAAAAAACAGTATAAAAGTCAGCTGTCTCTGCCTCTGCAGCATCGAGTCTGGCTATTCATTATCGTTAAATGTGGCTCTCATTAGTCCCCCAAAATTAATCCTGCAACACTGGAGCCAGAATTGTAGAATTACGGAACCTTTTCCTGTGTTTCACGTTAATTAAAGCGTTAGGTCATGCTTCCTGCATCGTCTTTATCTCATTTTCTGATTATTTAAATGCCTTAAAAACCTAATATGTGTAACTCCTCTTTTTAAAAAAAAAAATAGCATAAGCTCCTGTTCAGGTTGTTAAAACTCAACCACCAGTGACAGGATTTCAGAGTCAGTGTTGGACACTGTGGTTCTGGCTGACTCAGGGTTTGCAAGTGTGGACCTCAGGTGGGATTTTTCTTCTGAAAACTTGATGAAATTAAAAAGCCTAATGATGCAGGACTTCACTGTTCAGGGTAGCAATTATGACCACAGTTGTATGAAGAAGTACCTGCACTTTGCTGTGTCATGTTGAGTGTTTTATTTGTGTTTTATAAGGACATAGTAAAGTTTGACCACAAATACTCTTCCTTCTGGCCTTACATGAGCTGGAACACATTATCTGTGATTTAGCAATCAAACATCTGGGCACTGTGACTTTAAATCATCCCAAAACTTCTGCCCCTGACCTCCAAAATAACGGTGGCAGAGTTTCTCGACCTCCACTATCCCCGGAGGTGGAGGAAACATGGAGTCGAGTCGAGTCACGGTTATTTATAAAGCACTTTGGAAGCCAAAGAGCAAAAGAGCCAAAGAAATAAGGCTATGAATTAACAAGTTTAAATCAGGAGACCCTACAGTGTTATTTATGAATTAACCTGAATGATAGAAATATTACAATTAAACCCCCACAAAATAATAACTCATGTGTAATTTATTGCAGCGGAGAATCATGCCAGAATGCATCAGTCAAAGTGAAATACAGAGTAAACATGCTCGTATGTTTTACATCTTTGGTAACAACTGTGGCTAAAATGTGCTAAGCTTGATTTCTGGAAATCTTCTCGTGACCCTCCGTCAGTGTCTTCAGGGATCCTGACCTCCTGGCTTTAAATAGTGCGTTGACTGGAAGTGTTGAGCAGATTTCAGTCTGCTGTGGTGAGGTGTTCCGGTATACGGTGGGCTTACCAACACACAGTCTGTGATGGTAAACAAGAGCGTTTTATACAGATGGTCAGACAGTAGGGAGGGGACGGTATGTAAACACAGAGGGGAGTAGGAGCTGGTTTTGCATTTAGCTGCTGATCAATGACAGAGGATCAGAGAACAAGGGCTCTCGCAGACAGTCATCAATTACAAAAGGTGACTGAATCCAGGGGTCTGGTCGGCACAAAAGGCAGAATGATCAATAACAATGGGTAACTGAATAAAGGAGTGTCTGTAGCTAAAGGGATGTGCTGTTTTCTTTGCAGCACAGGATGGCGTATGTTGGATTTAAAATAAATAACAGTGCTCTTGTTTATTATAAAGCAGGGATGTGGTGCATTTGGGGGCTTTATGGGAACAGAGGAACAAGCTGCACTGCTTAAAATGCTAATTCGACGGATCGATTCGTCGCCGGCTTTGGTGTTCTGATTGGATTTGTTGAGAAAATGACTGAATATGACGGTATCGATCAAATCCTCTGCACTTCACTAACAGAGACGGCACTATTGCGCAGAAGGAAGTAGCAGCTCCGTGTGACATTCTTCACTTCTCTTCATCCTCTGCAGGGTTTCCGCTCACACCGACCTGGACCATGAGCAATGATCTGCCTGTTCTGACAAGTCTGACTGAGAACTCCACTGTGAGTAATGCTGCATCAAAGCCTCCCCACTCTGTCAACACCTTACCGTCCACACCTTCGCATTGAGCTGCTGTCTGTCACATGACAACTACACCTCTGCTGGAGACAACACACTAGTTTCCAGTAGTGACGCACGTTGTTAACCCTGTTCAGGACTTTCCTGCTGGCACACGAAGAAGGTCTTTTGGGGTGTGTAGAAGCCGATAATGTAATACCAGCCAATAACGTAACAACGGCCGATGACATAATAAATTTGCACTTTTTAAAATGTAATAGGCTAATAACGTAATGAAAGTCCTGAACCGATAACATAATATCTTTTGGCCAATAACGTAATAACTTCACGTAATAAGTTGTTACATTATTGGTTCAGGACTTTTATTATGTTACCGGCTGTTATTATGTTATTGGCGTCCACAGGGTGCATTGGAAACCAAGAAAGAACATATATGCAAAATATTTGTTTGTATTCATTATAGACTTTTATACTATGTTAAGTACATTTTCTGATTAGTTGATGTAGTTTTGGTTCCAAATGCATGACAAATGTCCCTCTTTTCATATTTGAAAAAAAAAAAAAATCAAAAATAATTTTTAAAAACCAATACCTGTCACCTAAACTAAATGCCCTGACGTCCAAAAGACCCCAAAAGTCCTGAATAGGGTTAAAATTTCTGGCCAGTACCGATATCCGAAATTAAGATTTCTGATATCGCCGATAACCGATATTACCGATATTATCGATATTACCGATATTACCGATATTACAGATATTGCCAAAGTCGATATTCAATTTTTGTTCACACCGAAAAATAAGATAAGTAAGCACTGTGAGAACTATTCCAAAGAAGCCCATACCAAATTAGACCACATAGTCTTCTTTATTAAGCAAAAAATATTTTAACATATTTAATGTTGAAGTCCAGGACCATTAATGTAACAATCTGTGAAATAGCAGCAATATCAAATGTAGAGACGAAGGCGCTAATGTTAGACAATCATCGGTTAAATTTGTTCATCGGACCGATATATCAGTAGGAGCAACAAACCCCGATATATCGGGAAAAAAATGCTAATATCGGCCGATACCGATGTGGTCGCCCATATATCGTGCATCCCTAGTATCCAACTGACTAGTATCATAAAAAAACAAAAAAACATGTTGAGTCAACAGCACAGTGTTCCAGTAACAGGTATTACATCCCAGGTGGAGCAGTGGTGGATGACGGTCTGATCTGTGGCCAAAGAGGATTTGACTGAAAAACAGAACTGAGTGTGCTGCTGCTGCTGCTGCTGGCTCTGGAGGGCGAGGACAGGAGGGGGGATATTTGAGCTGGTGGCGATTATCGGACAGTTAGCGTGGAGGCAGAGCTGGCCTTTGTTTGCCTCCACCGAGTGTGTTGGAAACACGGCCTGAAGACTGGCGAGAGGCTCCTGCTGATTGATTGTGTTGTTCTTGCCGTTTGGCTGAGCTTGTAAAAACAGCAGATTTCATTAAGTTACAGACGCTCTGACGAATCCTGAGCGCGTGTTCTCCGCCGCACATGTAGCCGTAGCTGCCAGTCGACACACACATACGGATTCAAACAGTGTTTTTCTCCGGAGTCTCTGAATGTAGGCTACTGCAGCATCTAATGAATATGGAAATCTATTCTGTTTACGCGTGACAAGGGGCGCAGTTCAACACGCTGTGGCCTCAGGCAGGTTTGAGGTTGAATGAAAAGGGAGGGAAAAGTGTGGGTTTTTTTTTTCATCTGCTGTAACACACACCATCATCAGAATTTCTGGCTTTATGAGCAGGGAGTGACGGCTTCCTCCGCCGAGCGACTTTCTGCTGTTAGATTGAGCTTGTGATCGAAGCTGACACAGACTGATTGATGCTCGTAGATCAGCGGCCTCACAGAAGAGCCTTCGGCAATTACAGAGGAAGCAGAGTCGCCACAAAAATCAGCTGTTTTTGCTTTTTTCTGTAACACACCTCCACGAGTTGATCGACAGCTATTTCACTCTGGTTGCTCCCCTTTTTTTTCCTTTAGAGTAAAGTGGATTTTTTGGGGGTTTGCTGGTCAAATAAAACAAAAAAAGGGATGAATTATTGTAAATTGAAAACCTTAAAACTGGCATT